ACTGTTATGATCACCGTCCTCGTCATTGTCATCGTCATCGTCATCGTCTTCGTCATCATCATTATGAATGAAAAAAGAGGCCTCCAACAGACTAACTGTCCAGCTACTCAGCATAAATACAAGCCAAAGAAAAAGCTCGCGTAAAAAAACGTTAATTTTTGTTTCAAAAAAAAGTATAAAATTAATGAAAATGTTTCTTCTTTTTCCGCTTTCTTCATTCTAATTTCGTTTTTCATATGCATTTTCTGTCGCGGGTAACAAAGCCGTTGAACGAAATGTAGTTGTCGGCTATCTCACCCCAGTGTCGCAATGAGTAACAAACACCAGGAAGAATATTGAAAACTAAAAACTGAAAGCAGCTTCAAGAGAAAACAAAAAAAAAGAGACAAAACGAAGAGCCAACGTTTGTTGACGTTCGTTATATTTAGTAAACGAATAAGGTTTGTAAGCAAAAGACGACAACCAATCATCATCAGTAGGTGAGCTCTACAGTTTTTTGCTTTATCGATTCTTTAATACTCTATACCGTATATTTTAGTCACAAAGAAAATGCACTGAAAGACCAACTATATTTCTTACACCGCAATATCTTCTTTCCGTTGTCAAAGATCAGCTAAAAAAACGTCAGAACAAGCGCACAGAAAAAAATTTAAATGATCATTAGAGGAAAAATGATTAAACAGACATTTATAACATTAGGCTTGCTTCTTCTGACGACTTCACATCTCAGTACTAACAACAATTATTCCTAACACATTCATCCATCTTTTCATCCATACATACATACATGCACATACAAACACGCATATACACACAAAAAAAGTATTTTTGCTCTCTGATCAACTCGGTAAATTCATGCCTACGTATCTGAAACATGTTATGACAGACGTATATGGCAAGATGACAGTTTCACACACTAAATTCTTACACATAAACTACAAGACTTGAATTTGAAACAAATAGAGAGGAAAGACAAGAAAAACAGAATAAAGAAGTGACCGTTAATAAGTGGAACTGTTCTTTTTTTCACTTTACATTTTTTCAGAGAAGAGAGGAAAGAGGAGTCAAAAGGTAAAAGGATGATCAAAAGTCGTCAGTGTTTAAAATGTTTAGCACAGATGATAAAGCTGGAGCAGTATGCCAGAACCAGGTATATTCTTTGAAATCATCCGTGGAGTATTACTTAAAAGACTTTCCGGAAAACAGACTGTATCAGTCAACTCACTGGTAGATCATTCGACATTTTGTGTTAATTGAGGAATGCAAAACAAAAAAAGAAGTTCAAGAAGAAAAAACAAAATATTGTTCTTGACCAAATAAATATAACCGGAAAAAAAAGGAAAAAAAAAAAGTTTAAAGAAAAGTCGTAAAAACAGAAATGAATTTTTCTCGCGGTCAAGAAAATTTTTTTCTCGCAGCATCGCCAAGGCATATTCTTCTCAGAAGATTCTTCCCTTTTCAAATCGCACTTTAGTAAAGCTTTTCCAATTTTCATTCTTTAATTCTTTCGCGTTTTATAACTACAACTTTTCAAACACTGCTCTCTTCCCAACTCTGTCTTCACCTCTTCAACAATTTTCTCTTTTGTTGTTGCCAGACACACAGCCAAAAAAAAAAAAAAAAAAAAAAAAAAAAAAAAAA